CATCATGCCTACCTGGATGCTGCCATGCTCCCACTTTGATGATAATGGACTGAACCTCTGAACCTGTAAACCAGTCCCAATTAAAATCCTTATAAGAGTTGCCTTGGGAAGGCTAGAGGAATTCTAGGGTGGTAAGGCAGGAGTGAGTAGGTGGGTTGGGGAGCACCCTCATAGAAGCAGGATAAGGGGGGATGGGATATGGAATTTGCAGAGGAGAAACCGGGAAAGAGGATAACATTTGAAATGTAAATAAATAAAATATCCAATTAAAAAAAAAAGAGTCGTCTCTTGGCTTGCTTCTCTTTGAGAGACATGCTGTCACTCTAGTCAAGAATTGACTAGAACTTGAGACAGTCATCTTGCCTCAGTTTCCTACATGCTGGAATTATAAATGAGTCACCACATTGAATGGCTTCTATGAGAAGAAAGAGACCATTAGAAGGAACAGCAGAAGGAACACGAAACAGAACAATGGTCAGAGGGTTCACAAAGGCCTACATTGGTGCTGACAAAAATTGAAGTGGACATTGGAAAAAAATAGCAGAAAGATAAAAGATTCTGCAGTTTGGGTGATGTGGAGGATTAATACCACTAAAACCTTTCAGAGAGAGAGAGAGAGAGAGAGAGAGAGAGAGAAACATAAGTTTACTCAAGTACACCAAGTTGATTTTTTACAAAAAGCCAAATACATATATTGGAGAAAAGATATCCTCTCTAATATACTGTTATAGGAACATTGGTTATCTTCTGGTAGAATATACAAGATCTTCTGAGATCTTCTGGTAGAAACAAGACCTTTATCTCCGGCTTTGGGAGAAAAATAAAATTTCAGCTGTATCAACTCTCCATGCTATACTCAAAATTTTGCAACTGCTAGATGATATCAGGGAATGTGCTTAATGATATAAGCATAGGGAAGCATTTCTGATGGGGATTCCAATCTCACAGGATATATGGTCAATACTCTAAAAGTATCCCTTCTAAAAAGAAATTGTTTTTATATCCTCAAATAAACAAAACAAAACATAAGCTCGTTAAGTGAAAAGGCAGCCTACAAAATGGCAGAAAACTTTTCCAGCAAAATAGGCCGGAATAGTGTCTGCAATATACAAGTTTATGAACATCTAGGATTAAAATATTCTATGGAATTAAACAGAGTGCTTACAAATACAGAGGCGAATGGCTAATTCATACTCAGAAATTGTTCAAAATTTTTAGCCAACAGGGAAATGCAAATTAAACATTCTGAGATCTCATCTTATTCTAGTCACATGGCTATTATTAGACAAAAATATTAACAATGACGTGTGGAAACAGGAGCCTTACAGTTTACACCAGTGTTGGTGGTAAAGGAAGCTGGCATATGTGGTGGTCAGGTAAGCTGGCACATGCCAGGCACTATGTGAGGAAGTTCATCAAAATATTAAAAATAGAAGTGTCATTCTTTTTATGCAGCTCTTAGCAGGGCACCTCCAAGGCATCACCAACATTGAAGCCGACATATGTAAAAGTGTTGAGAACTCTGGATCAAGTGTTTTGTCCTTGCTATGACATCTCAAAAATGGATAAGAAAATAATGAAAGTATTATAAAATATATTAACTGAGGTCCTGTTTTCTTTAGCATTTGATAGTCTTTTCAGTGCCTCTGTTGGTAGGATTAATTATGAGACCTAGGGGGTTGATAATGCCCACTAGGACCAGGACCATATGTGTCAACTCTTCTGCCAAATAATGTAAATCTAATAAAGCTTTAGTAACAAATAAATACAACTGTCCTATGATCCAACAATAGCAATCAATATAGCAAAAGGACTATATACCAAATGACATAACTGCACTTCCATTTTCAATGTGGTTATATTCATTACAACAAAATGGAATGACCCAAGACACCCATTAACACATGAATAGGTACTGAAAATGTGACATTTACATAATGTAATTTTATTTCACTGTAAAGAGAAATGAAACTGTAAAATATGCTGGCAATGTGATGGATTTAGAAAATATACTGATTGAGGAAACAGAAAGACAAAATACCCAATTTCCTTTATTGCAGTATCTAGCTACCAAAGTTCAGTGCAACACACTTAAAAATATGTGCTCATACTGGAAGTCTTTGAAAGAGTAGGAGGAAGGATTGAGGGAACTGGAGGGGTCAAGGACACCATAAGAATAGAGTCAAGTAACCTTGGGCCCATAGGAGCTCACAGATACTGAACTACCAACCAAAGAGCATGCATGGGCTGGACCTAGGCCCCTACATATGCAGCAGATGTGCAGATTGGTGTTCATGTGGGTCTGCTAACAATTATAGCAGGGGCTATCCCTGACTCTGTTGCATGCCTTTGAATCAATTCCCCCTAGCTGGGTTGCTTTGTCTGGCCTCAATGGGAGAGGATATGTTTAGTCTTGCTGCAACTTGATGTGCCAGACCAGGTTGGTACCCACATGGGGAGGGGTTAATTGGGGGAAGAGGTTATGAGGTTCAGACTGGGAGGAGAGGAAGGAGGTAGGGCTGAAATCAGGATATAAAGTGAATAAATAAACTAATGGAAAAAATGTGCTCTTAAAGACCAAAAGAAAGAAAGGGACCACTAAAGAGCAGATAGCAGAATGCCTCACTTATAAATATAAAGGGAGTGGTAATGATACTGGGGAATAGAAGGGTGTAAGCATAGAGGGGAAAGGAAACAATACGGAAGAACAGGATGAACTGGGATAAATAAGACAGGATATTCAGGGGAAAACATATAGAAAGGTATTTTATAATCTTAGTGAAAAATATAACCTAAACAAAAAGGTTTGAAAGGACACATCTCCATTGATGGACAATGTGTCTCCCCAAAGCCAGAGGTAACTACATGAGAATCATGTGCTAAGTTTAGGATGTCACCCTACTATTTGTTGCTCAAGGAGGACCTAAAGTCTCACACAGAATGCAGGTCATCATCATTGCTCAAGGTTGTCAAATAGAATTTGTTGGTAAAATCCTATATCTGAAGACAGTATCCATTTTGGTTACAGGACATTGATAAGTTAAGCTAGAGAAGAGCTAGAAGCTTTCTCCCTTTTAGATGGCCTTCAAGCTACAAGGAGTTGCTATGCATCCTGCTGGGAAAGGGATTAGCTGTGAATTCAGTGAGATAAAGCCAGGTAAAGCACATATTGTTAAGTACTGGAATGAAAGTTTTGAGCCTGCACGGGACTGACCTAGGCCCTCTGCACACATGTAACAGGTGTGCAGGTTGGTCTTCACGTGGCACTTCTAACATCGGAAGCAGGGACTGTCTCTTAGTGTTGCCTGCCTTTCCCCCTACTGGGCTGCATTGTCTAGCCTCAATAGAAAACGTACCTGGTTTTGCTGCAACTTGGTATGTCAAGGCTGACTGATACACATGGGAGTCCTCATCTCATAGAAAGGAAGGAGTTGATGGAGGGGGACATGGGGTGGAAGGACTGGGAGGAGGGAGGAAAACTGCTGTCAGGATGCAAAGTAAATTAATTAATTAAAAAAAATTATGACAAGCTGCCCTTAGTTTCTTGGATTTTTGACTAGCTATACAAAGAGGAACTCAATCTTATTTTATATGTGTCTTAGGATATGATATGTATTTGTGGTTGTCTTCAGAGTCTAAAAGAGTCTTTGTTTCCTGGAAGTTATGGGTCACTGTAAAACACCAAATGTTGATACTGGAAAGTGAACAAGGAGCCTTTGGAAGACTAGTAAGTACCCTTAGATGCACAATCATCTCTCCAGGCTTGATTCTTGAAATCTCACCCCAAGAACCTGTGGCTGGGGAGGTCACCAACATATAAGCAGGTACATATTATTTTCTTGATATATGGTCAAGTTAAATGCCCTGCCAATTCTCATGTGCATACTCCTAAATTAAGGAATGGGTCTATTGACAAGTATTGAAGGAACAGAGGGAAGATGAGAGAGGGAACTGGAAATTTAAAGCACTAAAATTATAGAAACACATGAAAGTACCAAAAAAATGGATTAGTTAAATCTGTTTTTTAAAATATAATCGTTCAAGTACAATGAAACATTAAAAAAAAACCACAGAATTTATGTAAATACAGGGGTTGGAGTTTGGTTCCTATCACTTACCTTAAGGGACCAAAACTGAGTCTGATTTTAGTTCCAGGAGGTTCTACAGCCTCCTCAGATCCCAGACACTTGGATTTATATGCATATATTCACACAGAAACATATACACAAAAATAATATGTATCACTCAGGAAAAAACATCTTTTCATTGTAAAGCTAATTACCAATGATATAACAGGTTCTTTTTTCAGTTTTTTTGAAAACCGAATTTGCTATGTAAGGGAACTTATAGAAATATTACAATAAAGAACAATTTTCTACTTCAAATCAACCAGACACACTCTCTCTCTCTCTCTCTCTCTCTCTCTCTCTCTCTCTCTCTCTCTCTCACTCAAAAACCTGGAAGAGAAGGTTAGCTACTGAACCATCTCTTTGAATTGCCAATTTTTTTTCTTTTTCTTTTCAGATTCTTTATTTGTGTATGCACATGACTGTACAAGTACCTGGGAAGGACAAGACATTTGTTCAGGCCCTTTGGAATTGAAGCTACAGGTAGCTGAAAGCCATCTAACACATATGCTGGCAATCAAACTAAGGCCCCCTAGAAGAGTAGCAAACACTGTTAATCACTTCTGTTAATCATTTCTCCAGGCTGCAATCCATCTCTTTAAATGCTTGGTATTGTTTGACACTGTTTCTTGGTAGCCTGTCTTTCAAGTGACAGGAATGGCAGACCAGAAAATTATGCCAATGTTATTAAGCAATTTTTTTTTTATTAAGCAAATCTTAACTCCAAGATTACAAACAAAAAAGCAAAAATCAAAGTCTTGTGTGGGAATGGGCCAAAGATCAAAATGCTAAAATTTTATTGTTCTTCTTTCAGGTTATTTCTAAAATATACAAACTTAAATTCTCCTTATATGATTTAACCACATGAAAATGTTCTATTTCAATCACACAGCTTTATTTTTTCATTAAAATTTACATTTGGTTGGAACAGGTTCACCTTAAAAGTCCTAAGTGCTATTCAAATGTCCTGTGTTAGACACTGTATTTTGCTAGCCTCTTACCCTACCTGTAAGAAAAACAGACATTAATATATGTATGGGAACAGGATTTCATCCTACATATGCTTGTATCTTAGGGCTAAAATTACATTTTACTGGTCATGTTTGTTTCCACTTCAAAATGTTTTCATTTTTTTCTTGTTTTTGCACTACATTTATTTACTTCATTTGTGTACAAACACACATACATTCAATGTTGTGCATGTGGAACTCAGAAGACAACTTTTGGGAATTGGTTCTTTATTTCTATCATGTGAGTTTCAGGGTTAAAATTGAGATCAGGCTATCCTAAAGAACCATAGCTAAGTCATCTCATGGCCCATCCAAACTCTTGTCTTCATACCTCACAATAAAGGCAAGTTGACCAGAGTGTCACACTGTTTATAGTTATACAAGTCTGTCACTCTGAGATTTTACATAGGTTTCTAATGGGAGGTAGGACCCAGAAATGCTTTTATATATTGCTTACATGGACAATGTTTCTATAGTGTGAATTCTTTCATGCTTGAGGAAATTACCACAATACGTGAATTCTTTCCCACAGTGTTTACATACATAAAGTTTCTCTTTCATAGAATGAATTTTTTTATGAGTGTAATAGGAACTCTGACTGTTGAAGGTTTTCCCACAAAGATTACATGCAAAATGCTTCTCTGCAGTGTGAGTTTTTTCATGACTGTTACGGGTACTGGAAGTGGTAAAAGTTTTTGTGCAATGCTTACATGTATAAGGCTTCTCTCCAGTGTGAATTCTTTCATGACTGTTACGGGCACTTGAAGTAGTAAAAGCTTTTCCACAATGTTTGCATGCATAAGGCTTCTCTCCAGTGTGAATCCTTTCATGCTTGATTAGATCACCAGAAAGAATAAATACTTTCCCACATTTTTTACACAGAAAGGACCTCTCACCAGTATGAATTCTTTCGTGACTGTTTCTGTCACTGGAAGTGGCAAAGGCTTTTCCACAATATTTACACGGATAAGGCTTCTCTCCAGTATGAATCCTTTTATGATTGATAAGATAATCAGAACGACTGAATGCTTTCCCACATGTTTTACACACAAAGGGTTTCTCTCCAGTGTGTATTCTTTCATGACTGTTACGGTCACTGGAACTGGTGAAGGCTTTTCCACAATGTTTGCATGCATAAGGCTTCTCTCCAGTGTGAATTCTTTCATGATTCATAAAATGACCCAAACGTTTGAATGCTTTCCCACATTTCTTACATACAAAGGGATTCTCTCCAGTGTGAATTCTTTCACAACTATTATAGTCATTGGGGCTAGTGAAAGCTTTTCCACAATGTGTACATGAACATGGCTTGTTTCCACCTTGAATGTTTTCATGAACATTATGGGCACTGGAAATAGTGAAGACTTTTTCACAATGTTTACATTCATAAGAATTCTCTCCATGAGTCCTTTGATGCATGAGAAGGTATTTCAACTGAATAAATCCTTTCCCACATTGCTCACACACATAAGGCCTCTCTCCACTGTGAATTCTTTCATGTTTTTGGAAGCATGACAAATATCTAAATGTTTTTCCACACTGTTTGCAAATATAACACTTTTCTACAATATGAATTCGTTCATGACTGATGAGGTGACTGGAATTAACAAAGGCTTCTCCACACTGCTTACACACAAATGGCTTTACTTCACTATGGATTGTTTCATCTATCTGGTCATATGTACACTTCATAAAGGTGATCTCATTGTGTTTATTTCCATCATGAGTTCTCTCATGATGCTCATCACAATGAAGACTCCCATGAGCTGCATTACATTGCTGATTTTCACATGATTTCTCTCTAGAACTTCCATGCACCTGAAATGACTCAGAATGACCCATATCTTCCCAGCATTTCTCATGTTTAAAAGCCTTCTCCACAAGTTCCTTACACTCAAATGGTTTCTCTTGAGTTTGATCATTGAGGTGCATATCCAAGGGTGAATTACTGATGATGTTTCTTACATACAAACTGCTTTCGCATACTGTTATTGCAAGAGGCATGTCCTCATTAACAATATACTCTGGAATCTGTGCCTGGGTTTGTTCACACTGACTACCATGTTCACATTCACCATCTTTCTCAATCACTTGAGTTCTGAAAAGAAAAAAAAAATGACGAGCATTATGGGCACTGGAGATAAGGAGATAATGAAGGCTTTTTCATCACAATGTTTACATTAGTAATATTTTGCTCCAGTGTGAACTTTTTGGTGCATGAGAGGTATTTCCAATAACAGAATCCTCTGGTACATGGGAAGGCATTGGCACTGAGATGTTTTTGATTTGGCAAACAAAGTGTTGGTGACTGACTACAGTGGTTCACTGCAGTTATAGTACTCAAGATGCAAGGGCAGAAAGCCTCCAAATTTAAGGCCAATTTGGGCCACAAAGATCCTGTCGTGAGTAAATCCTTTGACTTTGACTTTACTTTTTTAAGAATTATGAAAAATCAACTTCAACTTTATAAGAATTAAGAATCTCGAGCAATAGCTCAGTAATTAAGAGCACCTCTTCCTCTTCCAGAAGACCAAAGTTCAGCATCCCTATGGGTGGGTTTGCAGTGGCATATGGCTCCGTCTTCAAGGGACCTATAGCCCGCTTCTGGCTCCATAAATCCTCAGATATGTAGCATGCATTCACATGAACACACATATACACATAAACTTAAATAATTTATGACAATAAAAAGAGAAAATAGTCAACCAATGTGCTTGTGTTAGCATAAAAGAATATCATATAACATTAGGAAAAACTACCCAGGCATTTGAAATATGTAACATGTACTGGTTAAATTTTTACCAACATGATATAAGATAGGGCCATTGGAGAAGCTGGAACTTTAATTTAAAAAAAATGCCTCTATCATATTGGCCTATAGGTAACTCTACAGAGGTGCTTTCTTGATTTACTAAGTTATGTGGGAGGGCCTAGCTTATTGTGATTTGTCCTTCCTCTGAGCAAGTAGGCATGGGTTGTATACAAAAAGTAACAGAGCAAATCAGTGAGTGGTGCTCTTCCATGGTTTCTACTTGAGTTCCTGCTTCCAGACACCTGCCCAGCTTAAGCTCCGGACCTGGCTTCCCATGATGATAGACTGTGACATGAATTATAAGCCAAAATAAACCATTTTATTCTCAAGTTGCTTTTGATTGTGGTATTTATCACAGGACAAGAAAGTAAACTAAAATAGAAATTGGTACCAGGCCCATAGGCTATTGCTGTTACAGACTAACCATGTTGTTTTTGGAAAGAAAGTGAAAGTGTTTAGAACTTTCAACTAGAAAAGCCAATGAATGCTTAGAGTTTAATGATCTGTTTTGGCAACTTGGAATGTAAGAATGTTAACAGCAATGTGGACAATGGAAGCCTGCCTTGTCAAGTTTCAGAGGGATGTCTGAGAGTGTAAAGGTGATGTGGCTGCAACTTTTGTCACTCCCCTTAATCACTAGGATTGATACGGCTGATGTGGCTGGCTAGGGAGTGTCTCTGTCCTCCCTCACAGTTCCAAGTATATCTTCCCTCCTAAAGCTGTGTGCTTTGTCAAAGAGATGACTTTCCTAAGAAAGGAACATAGTCTTCAATTAAGGGTATATGAGTAGCTATGCTCCCATGTTATAACATCCAAATGAACTCTCAAGGGATGTTTAAGAGTACCTCAAAGACTCTAAGAGTGGTTCATGAGATATTTTGTATTAAGAATCTATGCTTTCTGGTCAGCTGGGGCTGAAGAATCAGCTATGATAAACAGCAGTATCACTGAGGTGAGATCTTTAAGATATTTCGATCAGCACAAAGACCACAGTAGGCTAAGGCTGCTCTTCAAATTGGCAGCAAAAATGGCAATGTGTAAGATTCTGTCAGGTGGTATTAATTCTGGCAGTCTGAGAGCTGCAGGAACAAAGGGGTCATGGAGCAGCTGAGGCAGTGTACCATGAAAGGCAAGAAGATGTCACTGCTGAAGTTGAAACCCCAGTTACAGAGAAAACAGCAGGATTGAAGGGTTTATTGAGAACAGATGAGATTTTATACCAAGTGCCAGGGTTGGAGTTCCCAAAAAAGGGCCAAAAAGTGAATGGTGAAGGACCCTAGCATATTAGAGATGACAGTACCATTGATGACTTCCAAGGATAGCAGTAGTTGTGGGCTTGAGTCAGCATCAGCCTGTAAGTCAAGTGATGGATGTGTGTTGTATATTACAGAGCCAGAAACGTTGTGTTACCCAAGCCATTAAGAGACAAGATAATGAGTGAAGCCCAGATGAAATACACTCAGCTACAGAATTGGATTAACATTGTTAAATTTTAGATTTACTTTGATCTAACTGTAGCTGTGCCCTGCTTCTTCACTTTTGAAATCAGAAATGCATAGCTGTGAGATTCCTAAAGTTATACTATGATTTATATTTTGATATTAACATGAAATCATGGGAACAAACAAGGAAACAACTGTGCTGGTTAGATTTTTTTGTCAACTTGATACATGATATGGTCATCTGGGGAGAGAGAACTTCTATTGAGAAAATAGTCTCATACAATTGGTTTGTAAGCAAATCTGTGTGTGTGGGCGTATTTTCTTGATTACTAATTGATGTGTGAGGCTAGCCCACCGTGGGTGGTGCTACTCCTGACCATATGGGCCAGCGCTCTATAAGTTCTCTAAGAAATGAAGCTGAGTAAGTCTTTAGAAGCAATCCACTCAGTAGTGTTCTTCCATTATTTCTGTTTCAGTCCCTGTTTCCAGATCTCTGCCCAGATTCCCATCAAGAGGGGCTGTGATATGGAAGGCAGGACAGGAACCAAAATAAGCTCTTTCTTCCTAAGTTGTATTTTGTCCTGGTGCTTATCTCAGCAATAAAAAGCAAATTAAAAACACCTCTAAAATAAGGAGGTGACTCAGCAGTGAAGAGGATTGATAGTTCTTCCAGAGAACCTGTCTTTGATTCCCACACAGTGGTTCACAACTGTCTGTAACTCCAATCCAGGAAATGGGGACCTTAGGCCCTCTTCTGGTCTCCAAGGGCACTACCTGAATGTGGCACACAGACATGCATGTAAATCAAGCATACATAAAAACCAAGTAATTCTAAAAACCAATATAACAACAAGAAAAAAAAGCAGCTCTTATATATAAAGCTCTAAGAAAAGATCATTAAAAAATATATCAAATACTTGTGAGTATGAAGACAATGTTTTATGTAATGCACCACTGGAAAAAAATCTCTTATATAGCTAATTGTTATATCACATCTTGGTGACATTCAGAAATTACAGAGATGGGATATTCAAATTCTGAATGACCACACCCAATGCAGTTTGATAGACATCTATGTTAGAATTAATTTATACTTAGATATATCTGGATAATTTACAAGGTTCTCAGTTGTCCTATTATTCCCAAATGTTTGATGTAAATTACTCTTTCTCGAGTTTAAATTATCCCAGATTTCACCTGAGATTTTGGTAGTCCTCTTCAACATTTTCTTCTTGTGTTTTCTCTAGAAAGTAAACCCAAAGAAATCATTATGGTATAGTCAACATTATAAAAATGTATTACATTCTAAATCTTATGACCTGACCAGGCATATTAAATTCACTATATGTTCCCTTTCAAACCATAAATCACTATACATCTAAGCAGGAGACAGTTGTCTGAATGAATAGGTAAAGGAAGCATAGTGTGTATTTACCTACAGAGATCAGGTTCATAAAGGTCTCCTTCATCACATCTCTGTAGAGCTTCTTCTGACTGGAATCCAACAAAGTCCACTCTCCTGAGGTGAAGTTCACAGCCACATCCTCAAAGGTCACTGGTTCCTGAAACAGTGCACATATTAATTAGGATGGTTAGTTTTAACAGCAAGGCTGACAGGATATAGAATCACCTAGAACTGAAGCTTCTGAAGACACCACTAAGTGTTTATGTTGATAACGGTTAACCTGAGAAACTACAGTGATTAAATGAATCAACATGAGAAAATTCACTCACTGGGTGTAGAAGCAGTCTCTGACTTGTGTGAAGGATTGGTTATATTAGAGGAAGTTTTAGACATACATCAAGAAAGCAGCTGTAATTGCTATGAGATTAATTCTAGGCACTGGGACAATAGTGAGGCAAGCAGGCACAGAGTAAGCTGAGAAATGTGAGACTTTACTTGAGTTTCACACCTAGTCATCTCTGAACAATGCAACTAGCAAATTGTGGATATTCTTTTTTGAACAGTCATCTGTAGGTAACCTTGGACCATATCCACTATCAGGTTTCATGCTTTTAAAAAAGGCAATATGTTAGTCCCTCTAGTAGCACCTTATTACTTTCCTATATCTAATTCAAATACATTTTGGAACACATCTGGTAACAATGGAAAATGGTGTTAAAAGTAATGAGCTACTTTCAGGTGCATGTACCATAAGGTGAACTGTGTTCTCAAAATTAATATTTAAGGAGAATCATTTTATTATTTTACCTTTGAATAAGGCATATGATTAAAATTAGATAAACAATGGGAAATAACACATGCAGTGAGTGAGGCTTACCAGCTGTACCTATCAGTCAAAACACAGAATGCTTAGAGCATGTGCCACCCTTCAGCAGCCAAATCCTTCCCTTCAAAGCCCCAAACAGTAGCCGTTGCCCTTGAGAACTGTCTTAGAGTTGTATTGTTGTGAAGAAACACCATAACCATGACAACATTAAATTGGGGCTGGCTTATAGTTCAGAGGTTTAGTATATTATTGTCATAGTGGGAAACATGGCAGGATGCAGGCCGACATGGTGCTGGAGGACATGAGAGGCAGCTTGATCTGCAGGCAGTAGAAGGAGAATGTGTGTCACTTTGGTCTTAGCTTGAGCATAGATGAGACCTCAAAGTCTATCTTCACAGTGACATACTTCCTCCAACAAGGTTACACCTCCTAACAGTACCACTCCCTATGGACAAGCATTCGCACACATGAGACCAAGGGGGCCATTCCTATTCATACCACTATAAGTACCCTAATTCAGTGGCCTGCTGTCATTTTTCACAGAACATTTTAAACTGTACTATGGCTTAGCTTTGAATCAAGTTACACTGGGCACAACAGAAATGCTATCCATACTCTTTCATCAACTGGGACCTTGAGAGTCATCAGAACTGCATGACGGGAGGAAGTTTTGAGGATTTAGATGTATGAGTCAGATACAGGATTTGATACTGACACAAAAGTCATAAAAATGAACTAGGATCCATCCCTTCACTTGGGATGCTTTAAATTTAGCAGACAAAGACACAGCAAATACTAAGTGCTTTGTGCTTGGAGGTGTTGGAAAAGAAGATAGTGTATTTATTTTACTAAGGGAAATACAGAATTGGTTGGTACAGAAACAGGAATGGAAACATTTCTGCATAAACTGGATATGGAATATGTGTGTAAAGTGACACAACTCTGTCCAAGACTACAGTTTGGATGATATTTTAGGAAGATTATTGAATAAAGGGATTGGGAAAGGCCTTGGGTTATCTGATATTGTGCAATGGAACTGGTGAACACACCTGCAGATCCCACATTTGCAACTCATGCACGTCCTGACCCTCTCATGTTCCTTTCACTTCTCTCACTGTATGTGTTGGCTAAGTTTCTGTGAGCTTATACTTCTCAATAGGGAGTGAGGCCTTGTTACATGAAAAATTGACGAGCATGGAAAACACTCAGTCTGCCTGTAAAGTTTTAAGCCTTGCTACGATTCACCCTATAATTAGCAGTGGTTAAGTCAAACATGGCAATGCAAACCTGCCATCTCAAGAATCAGGAGACTAAGCAGGAGGATCATTAGTTTGAGGCCAGCCTGAGCTACAAAGTCATAACTGGTCTCAAAATAAATTATCAAACAGGAGAGAGGAAAAAAAGACTGGCTCCAGGGGTAAAATTATGATGACATTCTTCCACTTATTTTTTTTCTTATTTTTCCAAGGACTTCAGACATATCATTAACTTATCAATTTGGCAACTTATTAAAAGTATCAACTGCTTTTTTTAAAAAAGTGAATTTAAATGTACTTTATTTTTAGACAACCCACATGACATGTTTTTTTCTTTAAAAAACAATGCCTCCACTCCAAATAAATCATGGTCAAAATAAAAGCTCAAGATGATATCAGTCCCATTTGTCCTAAGTCCTGGTGTTGTCTGGACAGTAAGCAGCAGCCAATTACTGTGACAGGGGACAGATCCAATTTAAACGTTTTTTTATCTCTAAGCCATCCTTAAAGAAAATCATGAATGGAGTCACACCATCTTCATGGTAGTCCAGGAGAGCAACCATACCATCTGGATTCATGTTCTCACCAATAAAAACCTGGTAGTTATTGAAATTAGCAAGGATGTGCTTAATTTGCTCTTCAGCTCCAGTCATAAAAGGCTTTACTCTTTCTGCTTTCTGTTCTTCTTCAAGTTTGCCCTTGAAGTGATTTCATGTAGTCTTTGATGTACTTTTTGTAGGCCTTTTTGTGAAGCTGGTTTCTTGTAAGTGATGGTTCATGACAATGTCAATACCGGTGACTACTGTGCTTTCAGTACCTTCGCCCTCCGGACCTTCAGTGGAAGCACCAATGAGCGAGTCATCGATGGCACCCTCTGTTCTACTGACCATCTTGCCCTCCGGCTCCAGGCACAGCCCGTCCCCGATCTCCTGGATCTTGTGATGAGGTCCAGTAGATGATCATGGTGACTGGCTGAGGCCAGTGGCGCTAGTTTGACAGCCTGGAGGAGCACGGAGCCACCTGAGCGGCACTGGGGGTGGGGGTGGGGGTGGGGGATGGAGTGGGCAGAAAAAGTGCTTTTTTAAAAAAATGATAACCAATACTATAAACTTTCCTTAGACCTGCCTTCATTCTATCCCATAAACTGATCATGCTGTTTTCTTTTTCATTCGATTTTAGAAGTTTAAAATATTTCCTTCATTTGTTTCTTGATCTAATTATCATTCAGTAGTGTTTTGTTTAGTTTCCATGAGTCTCTGTATTTTTAGTAGTTCTACTGCTGATAATAAAAGTGGACTTTTATTCCCTACTTAGAATGTAATTTGTTTATACTTCTAGAGACCCTCTTTGTGCAGTTGAGTTTGGAGAAAGCTCCATAGGCTCCTGAGAAGATTGTGTATTCTTCAGTGTTTGGGTGGATTGTTCTGCTTCATGTCTATTAAGTCCATTGATTTATGATGTAATTAACTCCAATTTTCCTTTGTTTAGTTTTGTCCAGATGATGAGTCACCTGGTGAGAGTAGACTACTGAAGTCATCCATTATTATACTGTTGGGTTTTTTCCTGCAATTTTAGAGGTAGCTGTATGTCTTTTAAAAAATTGGGTGTGTACCTCTGTTTGTTGTGTAGGTTTATTGTTGTAATTTCTTCTTGGTGAGGAAACTTCTTTGTAATTTCTTTGTAATCTATTCCTATAATGAGATGAAGTGACACTCTATCTCTTTTGACTAGTTTGGTTTGAAGTCTATTCTCTGTCAGATAAAGAATAGCTACGTCTTCTTTGTTCCATTTGCTTGGAATACCAGCTACTATTCTTTTACCTAAGATGAAACCTATTTTTGATCGTAAGGTAGCAATTAAAGATTTTAACATTAAGAGCTATTAATGGTCAAACATAGTGGTGCACACTTTTAATTCTAGCAGTTGGGAGGCAGAGGCAGGTGGATCATGGCCATCCTAGTCTACATAGTGAGTTCACGGACAGTTAGAGCTACATCATGAATTGCTGTCTCAAAAGAGAGACACTTCCAGAAAGTGAACTGCCTAAAAAAGGCTCAGACCAGCAGAGTGGCCTGGAGAAAGGAGACTGGTCAACTCCTTAGAAGAGGGTCAGAGCAGCTTCACTCCCTGAAAAGGATAGTGTCACCTTGTTGAGCTGCCTGCCAGCTGTATAGGGTTCTCCAGGTGTCTAGCCTTCCTAAAATGTCACCCATACTATGTGATTGGCTACATGGATACCCATACAGCTATCTTTGATTCATTTCTAACCCTATAAGTAACTCTTCATTCATATTTTTATAACCACCCCAATAAAACTCATTGGTTCACCAAATTGGACTTTGGTAGGTACCATTACTTTGGTCTATTATTGGATCCCTGTCTAGCTTGAGAAGACACAACCAATAGAATTCCATCATAGAACAACTACATATAAAGTTACAGTTTAATTCAAATGTAGTAATACTCAGTGATCCACCAGTCAACAAATAAACTAGATAAAAAATAAACAGAAACTCTGTAATTCAATGACATTATGAGGTCAGTGGTGGTGGGGTATGCCTTTAATCTCAGCACTCAGAAGGCAGAGGCCAGTAGATCTCCATGAATCTCAGGGCACCCTGGTCTACATAGCAAGTTGCAGGCCAGCCACAGCTGTAACTTTAGATCTAGTGGTATGTCTTTTACAAAATTGGGTCCACCTCTATTTGTTATGTATTTTTAATGACTGAGTCTCAAAAGGTAAATAAATAAACAAACAAATAAGACACCATGAAACAAATGAACCAAGTAAACACACATAGAACATTTTACTCAAACATAAGACACACACTTAAGCAACCAATGGACAGTCTCTTAATAGACTGTTATATTCAGACACAAAAATACAAGAAACCTAAAACAATGTCTTGTATTCTATCCAATTCAATGCAATGAGTCTGACAGAACAGAAATTATAGAAAATCTACAACCCAGAGATTAAATAACATACTATTGAATGATGAATGTGTTACTGAAGAAATAAAGGAGATCAAATACTTCCTTGAATTGAATGAAAATGAAGGCATAATGTAAGAAAACACATAAAATACAACGAGGACAGCACTAACAGCAACATTTATAACTCTAACTTCCTACACTAAAAATTCAGAAAAGAGGGGTTCTCTCCACCCCCAAGTCCTAAGGTTGCCATGGCCCTCTTAGCTCTTTATTCTGCATTGGCAGGGGTTGGGGGGGGGAGTTTCTCAGAGAACACCCCACTGGAAATGATCTACTTTGATATTGGTGTCTTCTGTGCTGATCAAGAAGAACATCCATATCTCTAGCAGTCCACCCTGGAAGAGCCATGGTGTCCCCTGATGTTGGGGGCTCAGATGCCTGGGGCCCTCCTTCCCAGGGCCACCAGGATCTCCTGCTGTTTAGAGGGGTTTCTCTAGGTTTCACAGATAACATGGAAGACTACTAGGACAGTGTCAACCACATTTTGATACCCTGTTCTACCCTGGCCTCTCCAACTCCTACTATGTCACAGGACATGTACAGGTGACAAGCAGGGGCTCTTTTACTTTTGATCCTTCACCTTTCTGTAAGGGATCTAGAATACTCTGACTTTCAGCCAAATCACAGTGAGCATTCTCTATCAGTGATTTTTACCTTAGTATTCCACCATGACCCCTTCCAGCCTTTAATTTCTTACTCAGTAACCTGCATACTTGGAAACCTGGGACTTCTGTCTCACGTGGCAGGGAGTTCAGTGGATCATTCTATGCTACCTCTGATCCAAGGGACCCTTGTATTAGTCCCTGACCCCCCTGGCCATGTCTTTTGCCTTCACACTCAGATCTTAACTCCCCCTAAACAAACTCTGGATCTTTGAGTTGTCCTCAGGCATTAGAGTCCTATAGGTCTGCAAGCTGCAAGTGGGATTAGGGATTAGAGGCTCCTTTCTGCTCAGACCTGATCCCACCAGTTATTGGAAATCCAGCTTTCCCCTTCCCATCCTGCTCCCCAAAAGTGAAGAAAGAACTCCTTAGTTCCATCTCCTCCCAGTTCTTGAATCTTAGGGTTCATAACACACACACACACACACACACACACACACACACACACACACACACAATTACAGGCACAGGCAGGCGAATCTCTGAGTTCAAAGTCAGTCTGGTCTACCGAGTGAGTTCCAGGATAGCCAGGCTACTGAGAAATCTTGTCTGAAAAACAAAGAAACCAACCAAACAAACAAAACAACAACTACCACCACCACCACCAGCACCAGCACCACCACCACCACCACCACCACCACCACCACCACCACCACCAACCGCATATTACATATCCCTTCTCTTTGAAGAAGCAGCCTAGAGCATAACTAATACAAAACCAAGGACATTGGAGGAAACAATAAAGCAGGCCAAACGCAAGTGCAAGGTCAGACAGACAGCAACGCTCATCACCCAACTCTTTTCACTGCACTGACCAGATTCTGCATCACCAACCCATCAGCGCTGCAAAGTCTGCAGGCTCCGGGTCCTTCGCGCGGATTCCCCATGATACCCTGGGGACTGGGATAAAGCAGTTTCACAGCGACAGGACAGGAGGAGCCTCCGACTCCCGGCTCCGCTGGTGCCAGACTCCACCTTAGACTACAGCACAGGGCCAGGGGAACGTCGGATCGGCGGCGCCAAGCTGCGCCAGGCTGCGTCAAAGCTGCGGCCCACGACTCCAGGGGCCACCGCGCACTCACCATTTCCAGCTTCAGACGCATGCAGGGGTCCTTCGGAAGCGCCTGCCGACAAAATAGGTGGCACTGGCTAAAACCAGTTGTCATAACACCTCACAAAAGCTACACGGGATTCAAAAATGGAGCCGGGGCAGAAACTTCAGAACATCCGTGTTCCTCATTTGACAGTTCCAGCAAGGGAGTAACAGCGGTTCTGATTGGCGAAAGATGCTGGACCCGCCTTCTTATTCGTGAGTAACAGGATCAACAATCTTTCCCATCCCTGACGCAAAAAAAAAAAAAAAAAAAAAAAAAAAAAAAGATAGATAAGAGCAACATCCAATCGTAACCCAGGAGTTCTCTTAGGCGTAAGCTTGAGGGATTTTAGTGCACGCACTCCTTTCGTCTCGTACTCAGTGGGGTTCTACTATTTTACATAAGATAGCGCTACATATTGGCTCTGGACATCCCAGACTCAGTGAGTGTAGGAAAAAGAAAACCCATGACCTCAAACAGGAAGGTTACTCCGTCAATGCCAATGATGAGTGTCAACTTAAGAATCTGAGATGAGGCAAATGGACTTTTGCACCTATATTTTTTGAAAGTCAAGATTTAAAATGTTGATTGAGCCCCAGTTTTGAAAAAAACCTGTACAATATCTTAAAGCTTTGTCTGAAGAAATAAAATTTTAAAACACGTTTGATAGATACATACGCTTTTGCAAATAATACCCCTTCTTACAAGTTTACTTGGACTACTTCTGGGCATTGAACATTGTTACTATAAACCAAGCCGAGAGCAGAAAGCTACATATATGAATTAATAATGTAAACAGAAAAAACTTGTAAGTAAAGAAAAGGATTTTGCTCCAGTATTGGTTAGCCTTTTGTCAACTTGATATAAGCTGGGGTCATCTGAAAAGAGGGAACCTCAACAGAGAAATGCCTCCATTAGATTGTCCTATAGGCAAGACTGTAGGACATTTTTTTTTTTTTTGGATTAATGAATGATGTGTGTGGCAGGGTCCAGTCTACTGTAGTCATGCATACTTAGGTAGATAGGCCTAGGCTGTATAAAAATGGAAAATGAACAAACATGGGAGCAGTATTTCTCCATGATCTTTGCTTCAGTTCCTACTCCAAATTTCTTCTTGAGTTCTGTGATGATTATTTTTTTGGTTGTTAACTTGACTACATCAGTAATGAACTAAATCCAGAAACAGAGGACATACCTGTGAGAAAATTTTTGCTTGCTTTGAAGTGGGCAAATCTACTTCAGGTATGCATCTTTGAGGTAGAAAGTCACAGGGCTTTGATCCAAATCGTGAAGCTGGAAGACACAAGCTCTTAATCCTCTAATCTAGGCCACATGTTTTGCTAGACCTGGAAGAGGAAGCTTTTTGCTCTTGTCTGCTTGCCCTTGCCTTGCTAACATGTCCATTCCTACACCAGCATTAGAACCTTACTTCTTAGGGATTCCAGCATATACTGAAGACCAGCTAAGACATTTAGTCTTGTGGACTGAGAAACTACAGGATTCTTGGACTTTCCATCCATAGCCAGCCATTGTTGGATTAGCTAGACTGCAGCCTGTAAGTCATTCCAGTAAACCCCCTTTCTATACATATGGAAAGATTCATTCTATAAATTTTGTTACTCTTGAGAACCTGACTAATAATTTCCCTTCATGATGGACTTTAAGCCATAAGATAAAATATATCCTTCCCTCAACAAATTTGCTTTTGTTCAAAGAAATAGAAAGAAAAGATAGAACCATTTCAACTAAACTCTTATTCAATGACCAGACAACTGAGTGAAAAGGTATGTTAGGAAATGAGGTTACACTTGAGATATCCTTTTTCAAACTACTAACAGTCAAGTAGGAGAGAGATAAAGAGAGAGAGAGAGAGAGAGAGAGAGAGAGAGAGAGAGAGAGAGAGACCCAGTGACTCGGTAAAGGTTCTAAACAAAAAGAAGGGGGAGATAGAACCTGTATCTACCACCAGTAAATAGGCATGGCCGCTGGTCGAGGTATGGGGCCACCCACCCACCTCAAAGTTTTTAACCCAGAAATGTTTCTGTTCAAAGGAAGAACAGGGACAAAAAATGGAACAGAGACTGAAGGAAGGGCCATCCGGGGACTGCCTCACCTGGGGATCCATCATGTCTGCAGACACTAAATTCGACACTGTTGCCATGGTCAAGAGGTGCTTGCTGATAGAAACCTGGTGTTGTGGTTCCTTGGGAGGTCCAGCCAGCATCTGACCAATGCAGATGTGATGTGTGGAGCCAACCATCAGACTGAGCTCAGGGAACCTGGTGGGGGAGCTAGCAGAAGGACTGGAGCAGTGGAGGGTGATTGCAACCCCATTGGAAGAATAACACATGCTGGCCTGACCACCCAGTTCTCCCAGAGACTAGACTGCCAACCAAGGAGTATTTATGGAGGGATCTATGGCTCCAGATACATATGTAGTAGAGGATGACCTTGCCTGACAGCAATGGGAGGCAAGACCCTTGGTCCTGGGGAGGTTGATGCCCCAGAATAGGGGGATGCTGGAGTGGGCAGGAGAGGGTGAGTGGGTGAGCACCCTCATATAGGCAAAGGAGGCGGGGAGGGCTGATGTGGGATGGGGGTTGGTGGAGGGGTAACCCCGGAAGTGGGATATCATTTGAGATGTAAACGAATGGAATGATTAATAAAAAAAAGGAAAAAGAAAAAAGAAACTTCTCAAAATCAGTACAAATATTCAATGAATATATAGAAAGTAGTCAACTTCTTTTGCCAAGAAGGAAATTCAATGCAAGGAAAAGAAATAAACAAGACCAACATTTGTTGAGTTAAAAAGATAGCTAGAATGTATAATTCTGATAGGGCCAAACTAAAAACAAAGGAAACAAACACATTTTGACATTGGTACCAAATGGCATAGTTTTCGTACATATATAATGGGCATTTCATAGACAATAAAGGGAATGTAATACTTACAAAATGTTTATGATCATAAATTTACTCTATATGTATGGGTGTTTTGTCTGCATGTGTACTATTTACATGTCTGGTAACAGTGAAGGCTAAAGGAGGGTGTCGGATCCCCTGGAACTGGAGTTACAGGTGGTTTTGAGCTACCAGATTTTGAGAATTCAAGTATATAGATCGACTGTGAGCCATGCGATGCGGGTGCTGGGAAATAAGCTCCAGTTCTGTGCAAGAGCACCAAGCTCTTTTAACAACCAAGAAATATTTCCATCCCCAGACCCTGATAATCTTTCTTCCCAGGGAAGTATTTTATTGATAGGACTTTCCATTGAACTTCTTTAATTTGTTTGCTTTTGTTTATTTTTAAACATTATATTTTTATCACAACCTTCCTCCCTTCCATTTCCTCTCTCTAAACCTATGAGTTGTGACCTCTTTGGTGGTTGAATGATCCTTTCACAGGGGTCACCTTAGACCATTGGAAAAATTAGATATTAACATTACACTTCATAACAGTAGAAAAATTTATAGTTATGAAGTAGCAATGAAAATAATTTTGTGTGTTTGGGAAATCACCATAATCTGATATAAAGGGTAGCAGCATTAGGAAGACTGAGAACCACTGTTCTAAAACCTCCGTTTTACCACTTGATCACCTTCAAATTCATGGACACCTTCTTCATCATTATTGTATGCATTTATTGCACATATTCACAAACACAAACATGTATACACAGACATAACTCGAAGTATAATCTATTGAGTTCATACTATTGTATGCATGTTTTAATGGCTGATGATTGTCTCTGGACAACTAATTAGTTTGTTCTCCTTTGGGGAGGATGTTGAGACCTTGTGGGCTTCTCCCTGTGCAGTTTGTCATGCTGGTATCCTCCTTGATCAGCTTATGTTTGAACAGTTGTGTTGGTTAGGCTTTTTGGATGTAGATTTTGATGTTACTAGGAGACACAATCTTAAAGCCAAGTCACTGATCATATGGTTCTTATAATTTTTCTGCCCCTCTTTCACAATGTTCCCTGAGACTTATGTGTGACAGTGTTTTATAGATGTATCCTTTGGGACTGTCTTCCTCCACTCTACATATTGCTTGGTTGTGCTTTTCTGTAATGGTCTCTGTTTGTTGCAAAGAGAAATTTTCTTATTGAAGGGTGAAGGTTATGTTTATCTGTGTGTATAAGAACAAATGTTTATAGACTGTTGATAGAGATTATACTGGTCTAGTAAATTAATAGTTATAGATTTTTCTTCAATAACCATAAGTTCATTAGCACCATGTAGTTAGCTAGGTTTCTAGTACCAGAATACCTCTTGTGTATCAACTTTTTATTTCACTGTTGAGCTTTTTAATTCCATGACTACTTTTGGTTGGGTTATGTTCTGTATTTCTTTTAACTGAATTCTATTTTCATGCCATGAATTTACTTCCTTGTTTTATTCAGCTAATTTTCATGTTCTCTTGAAAAATATTCATGTTGTCTTGCCAGGAGCCAAACCCATGAAATTACCCGCTGTAATCTTAATAGCAATCTTAGTAGTTAAAGTACAAGATCAAGAAAGGACATATGCGGTCTAGGGTTCCAGGAACTGAAAGAACGTCTGGTATTTCCCAGAAACTGGGTACTAACCAGGCCAACTCAGTCAGGCAACAGGTTCTCCAGCGCAGGAGTGAGGATTAAAAAGAAAAAAAGATGATTAGACAACAGTGTAGCATGACCCCAGACAGTTCTGAGGCTGAAGGCTGAGGCAGGTTTATTTTTTCCCAATTTGCTTTTAAACCATTTTAATTACATGCAAGTATTTAGGTCAGTTTTAGATTGAGGAACTAGCAATATAATAGATGCAAATAGTCAAGGAACAAACAAGGCAATAAACAAAGTCTCGTGATCACTTCTATGATCACTCACATGATCACTGTTTCTAAGGGCTCATCAGGATGACAAAAATATCTGCGCCTACTTCCCTGTCCTAGCCCACAGTCATATTCATGCCTGAGGCCTACTTCTTTGTTCTAGCCTAAGACTTAGATTCCTGACTGTAATTACTTCTCTGTTTTAGCCTAAAATTAGATTACTGCCTGAACTTACTTCCTTATCATGGCCCAATGTCAGATTCCTGCCTAAAGCCCATTTCCTTGTCCTTGGCTAATGTCAGATTCCAGCTAAGCAGCCCCAAA